TATATATATATATATAAAGGTAGATGAGTCTATCGCTTTAGCAGAACCAGGTTCATTTCCTCGAAAGAACATGACTGTTATAATCATTTTTATTGATTAAAATGTTGTTTTATGGCATTATAGGCCAATACGTTTATTTTTCTAAAAGGTCAATATCTGTCTGAATGCCAAAATATTTTCCCTCACTGATAATAAACCGCCCATGTGTTAATTCGTGGCGCCTTCACGTGCAGGTGTATAAACATACATGTGTTTACTGTCGTGCAGACTGCGCGTGCAGTGCGCGTGCAGTGCGCATGCCTCTCGCCTCCTCTAATGACAGATGATAAGTTCTTAGCACTGCTGAGTGAGCTGGCCGCGGGGCCATTTGTCACATGGCTGTCCAGAAACAAGCCAAGCATGGAAATGAATTTGTTCATTCACATAAAACAAAGAGCGGCAGCCTGCTTAACATGCACCACGGTAACGACTGCCCCCACCATGCCTTACACAGTGTATATATAAATATAATAAATATTATATACATATATTCACTTTTGATTTTCCGCACAAACATCACAGATAAACAGACCTCATTAAACTTGGTATTATTGAATAGTTGTTATTTTGTCTCTTTTTTTTTAAACATTATTTTTAATAGCATGCCACATCTAACATTGGGCTCGTGCATGTAACTTATTGCAGCATTATTCTCCATGCAGCTGAACAAAACATAAAATAAAAAACCCACCTTTGTAGTTTGAGAGAATACATTTTCGCACTCTTCTCGTGTATCAGTTGAGATTTCTCCGAATTTGCAGCGTTATTATCCATTTAATCAGCCTGCAGTCAGCCGGTGTCCCGTGTGAGAAATAAAGAATAGAAGTCAAGGTGGTTTTTTTTTTTTTTTTTAAGAGGATGCTGCAGGAGTTGCCGGTGAGAATCGACAGGTCCGGTTCATCCGAGAGCGCATTTCAGTGAGCAGTGAGACTTCACAGCAGACGGATACATTCCAAGAGGACACGAGGAGGAAACCACATGCGGAGGTTTTTCTTAATTTTAGTTTTGTGTATAGCCTCGAACACGGAGCTGCAGCAGTAGTAATAATAAGACACGCCGTGCTGTGAGCACTGCAGCTGCTGTGAGTGTGCAGGACAGAAACCTATGTGAAGCCTGACTGATCTCCATGCAGGACCTCCGGTTGGTGCATCCTCTAATGGGACGAGCGTCGATATGAGCGAAAATCAATTCATTCACAGAAACACAGACTAAATCATTTAAATAATGTTTTAAAATGTTGTGTAAAAAAAACATTATTGTCCTTGACTTTCCTACACATTTTTACAGTGAGGATGTGTTGCAGATGTTCAGTTTTTTTTATTTTTTTTTACATCAACCTTTCTTCATTTCGCTCAGCATTCATTTATTATCAACTCAGCCTGATATGCGGTTGTGTTAAAGCAGATTTATGCCATTCTGTAAAGATAGTATACTGGCTATATCTGAGCAAAATGACAAGTTAAACATTTCTCAGTCTAAAAACATTTTTAAAAATTATTTTTCGTCGATTAATGCCAGTCTAAAAAAAATAATCTTCAAATTAATATCATGAAATCCTCCATTGCTTTGAGGATTACGCTATGTTTACTTTTTTAAATCTATACTCTTTTTAAATACAGAGGTGCAATGGTGCAGTGATGGTATAGTGGGTTTAAATTCATGTAAATAAAATAAATTAAATGGGACAGAAACTGTCTCTCTCTTAAATGTAGGAGGAAAAATACAAATATCTATATATATATATATATATATATTTATACAGATTTCTCACACTGGACTGTTACGTTTTTTTTAAAGTACTTTTAATTTTATAATAATTATGTAACTTAATAAACAAGTATTATATATAAAAATACTACATTTGCATGAAAGTTTAAAATACCACTACACTCTAAAGAGCAACTTATTGTAACATACCTGTATTTATTAAGGACATTATAATAGAATGATTATCTCTTGTGGACAACTGCGCATGCGCTGTCTAGAGAGCATCATGTTAAGTGTTAGCTAGCTATACTGGCGACATTTATACTTCAATAAAACACGTAAAAACAAATGGTTAACTTTATGAAAACATGGCGAATATAATGTAAGACAAATAATATCAAAACAAATAAAGCCAGCTCAACTTTTATGTACTTTAGTTAGCAAATCATCCGTTGCTTTGAGGATTACCCATAATGTTTCGCTTCTACTACTCAGTGCAGTTGCACATTTATAACAGCAGGTGGCGTAGTTTCCCCATTTAGCGGGATTTAACGTGAAACATTTCAACTATGTTACACACATAGGGTTAAAATGAATAGACAGATATATGACCATCTGAAGCGATTAAATAATAATCATGTTTATGCAGCCAACAAACTGTACTAAAATATACAAAGCAAGAAAAAAGATCCATCGATCTATCTATCTATCTATCTATCTAAAAAAGTATTGTTAAGTAGGAGTGAGTGGCATTTTTCCGATGACCTTAAACACAGCATCTCTCGTGACGTCATCACGTTCTCCGTGTTTTGGTTTTACGCGCGGCCCGCGCTGAACAAGAGAACGACGCGATGGAGACAACAAGCAGCGACTGTACCGTTAAACCGGACGACCAGCAGCAGACCGGCGGAGGAGTGATGGAGGCGGACAGGTCCGTGTCAACATCCGACAGGTTACAAAATAAATAAACGAATACAGTTTTTAAAATGTCTGCGGGCTCAAGAGTCAGAACAGCGCAGTGATAGCGGCTTCATGCTAGCTTCATGCTAATGGAGCTAGCTTCTAGCGTGGACCACGTCACGCCAGACTTCTGTGTACAAAAAACGAAATTTGCATTTTAGGCATGTTGGCAAACGTTTGTAATAGGCGTGACATTATTTTTTACTGCGTTGCAACGTGGTCTGTTAAATACGGCATAACTAATAATAATTATAATAATAACTTGATTTGTATAGCACGTTTAAATATAGACCTTTCAAAGTGCTTTGACAGACAAAGCAGCAAAAGACAATAATAACAATAACAGAAACAAATAAATAATATATATTTAGTAAAATAATTTATTAAAAATCAACAAATAGAGATAATATATATATATATATATATATATATATATATATTATTATATAGGATTATTATTATCAACCAAAACATCTGAATAGTTCTAATCGAAAACTGGATGTAGTGTAGCTCATCTGAAGCTAATGCTACTGTGGCTAACACTCATAACATGCTCCGGATGCTAACCTGGTTGTGTCAATACAGGTGTAAACATCTGTCTGTTTATCTCTGATTATTAGTGGGTCGTGTGTGTGTGTGTGTGTGTGTGTGTGTGTGTGTGTGAAGGAGTGAATCCCATCTGGCCTTTTGAGTGGGACTATGCCTCTGATATGTCATTTCCTCACATGTATGCTCAGGACCGTTTAAGAAGTAGGTCAGGTTAATAATTAGCTTGAGTAATGCAAAGCACAGACTATAGAAGTCCTTAAACCATGCATACAAACAACTGTTTGTTGGCACCTTTATAAGATGTTTATGGATAAGCAAGGCAACAGTGAACCTCCAGATTATAAGATGTACTTTCACCAGATACACAGCGAGGTTAGTGAGATCATCTCGTCCCTCGCTAAGTGATGACAGCCTTACTCATGTGAACGGTGGCCTCACCTTGTGCCTCGCTGCGTCCAGGGCGGCGGTGTGATTTCCTGGGGAGAGTCGGAGAGTTCCCCCTTCCTCCCCCTCAACCACACCGACAGCAGAGACCTCACTGTGGAGAGAGAGAGAGAGACACCAGAGAGCATCGTCTCCCTCTCGTCTCTCTGCAGGACAGTAGCGTATCTGCAGCTCCACAAATATGAATAAATGATCAAATTGAGGCTGATTATTTTAGAACGTTACGTCTCGATGAAGCCAATTTTCGGCTCATTTATAGCCTCGTAACTTTGGCTATGTGTGGTCTACTTTTAAATGTATGACCTGTCTTACACTCAGCTTTGTGGAGCCTGCAGGTACCACAACAACCTAATTGCCTGTATACGGAGCAGCAGCACGGGGCCATCTATGAGCTTAAAGGCAGTTCTGATGGCAAATACAGAAAACTATAGTTTGAAAGAAAACAGTCGAGGTGCTGCTGTCTGATCTCGGCCCCTGTTGTCTTCCCGTCTGTCTCCAGTGGGAGTGGAGATGGTTCCCTGGATGGCGTCTCAGACCGCGTCCCCCGCTGCCCGTTGACGCCGTCTTTATCGCCAAGAAAACGGACCACGAGCCAGTCCAAGACCAAGCCTCCGCTGCTGAGGACGGACAAACGGACCATCTACACGGCCGGCAGACCGCCCTGGTACAACGTCACCGGGACCACCTTCACAGAGGCCTTCGTTATCGGTGAGCAATCGGCCAACTGCCACCTACTTCTGCTCTACTGTGTGTGTGTGTGTGTCTGTGTGTGCGTGTGTGTTTTTGTTTGACATTCACAGAGCTGATGGTCCGTGGTTAAACACATCAGGTCGGCATGAGTGGGGATACGTGGAGGGAGACGTGGACGATGTCTTTAGTGGGTGATCTGTTATTGTCAATGAGCCGCGTTGGCCGGTTACAATTTCACTCTCGGCTGTACTGGAGTCGATAAAAGGACCCGACGGTGTGACTGTGGAACTCATTAGAGCCTTGATGAAAAACACGACGCCTACGTACACCGAATATATAACAGGACTATATTCCTGCTAAGCATTTTAAATGGTTAACGATAATAACGACGCACAGAGCGCTGCCAAAACAACACTATTTATTACAGCCAGAACTTCTGTTTTTACAGCTCCTGGATATGATAAATGGTGTCATTTTGGGGATATAAAAAAGGTTCTTCATTCGGACTAAGGCCAATGTCTGAATATCCAACATATATGCTGCTTACATGACCTGCATCAAATTCAGAATATTGAAATATTTATGATAATAAACGTAGTCATTGAGGATCGGTTAAAGGAGCAGCTTGAGAAGAGATGGACGCAGAAACAGTGACACGTCATAGAGACCAGTTTTCTAGTTTTATTGCTCATAGAAAAGTCTGTTTTATCTAAAACCAGCCGGGTGATAAAACGTGTCACTTACACTGAATCTATATGAACACAGTTAATAGGATTTTTTAAAAACATGATTTTTAAAGTCAGACCCGGTATTTCTACGGCCGCTCTGAAGCTGTAATCATTCGTAGGAATGAGGAGCCTCAGTGTCCCAGTCAGCAGTTTTGAGCTTGATGGGTCTTATCTGAGCAAAAAACCCCATTCCAACACTTCACCAAGAGTTGTTTATACCACAGAAGTAGCTCTGTAGGCTATTTCTGTTCACACACACACACACACACAACCGTTGGCAGCAAATGCATCCAGTTCTTCACCTCCTTGCCATCCAGCATGTAGTCTTGGCCCAGTTCCCTTTGACTCAGGAGGTCGAGTGAGCGACTCGAGGCTCCAGACGTTTTATTCCTCCATGCCGGCGACGATTTGTCCGTCTGTCCGTCCGTTTGTTTGTGTCCCGTTCTCGTAAACTCTAATATCGCAGACGTGTCTTTTCCTGCTTTTAAAGTCTTAATGACAGTAAAGTGATGACATTTTGTTTTTTTTTAACCAGATCCTTGTAGCTGTTCTATTATTTCCTCTTACACACTTAGTCATTTATATCCACATTTATCAAAAACATCATTGCGATACGACGTTGGAAGTATTTTTTATCAACATAATTTTTAGGAGAGTTTTAAGGAAATCTCGACTCCGTTAAAAAACCTTTCGGCGCATTATTCTGGCGATAAGATTAGAAAATGTGGGCTGAAACATTTTGGTCCCAGGAACAGACGGAAACTTCTGGATCAGTCACAACATGTGGTTTGACTGCGTCTCCTCAGATCTTTGTTTCTTTGTGTTTCTCTCCTGGAGGTCTGTGTGGAGGAAGTGCTTCTGGTAAAACCACGGTAGCCAATAAGATCATCGAAGCGCTGGACGTTCCCTGGGTGGTCCTGCTCTCCATGGACTCTTTCTACAAGGTGAAGCACTCCAGAACATAAATAAGAGCTTCGATTGAGAGTGTTCCAGCCGC